GAAATCAAAGGAACTTACGAGGAACTTAATAACTTAAAAGTGCATTGTACAAACAAAATAGAGTATAAATATTGAATTACTTTGTATTGTACAAGAAAAATGATGGAAATTGTTAATATGATAGTTAAGTTAATGAGAGCTTACTAAATATAATAATAATAAAGTAGAAGTAAATACTATAATAACATTAAATATAGACTAGACCCGAATTCTCGATCAAATATTGTGCCTGACAATTTATTATCAGAGTACATATTCAAAAATAATGATAAACCTATGCTCACGCATATTAAAAAGAAGCTAAAATTCCAAAATTTAGTTACAAGATTTTTGGGAAGAAAGCAGACATGGCTCTTAAGAAAGTTTCAATGTAATAAAAGGAGAAACGTAAAGGTATATAGAAACAAAATTTAGTTACCAGTTCCAGAGATCAAATTGTTCTGGAGAGGTACAATGGAATTTTCAATCCATAGGAAAAGGAGTGACTATAATTTGCAATAGATATAACAAGAAAGAGAGAAGTGTTCCAGAGCGAAAATTGTTCAGACTTATCCAAGGAATCCCGTGGAAAGAGTCAGATTGGATGAAAAGAAATAACCAGAAGCTGAATTAATCATAAAGGAAACAAGGAATCAAAAGTGCACATAAAAAGGTTAGATAACTGTTTCATAAAGATATAATAATCGAAATCTGCACAGAATAACAATTAATAAATGATAGACAGATTACTTACCTGTAAATTTGAAAAAGAAAGAGCTCTGTAATAATTAAATTAATAATTTATTTTAATTGACGTCACAATACAAATGTATGCATTTAAAATTGAAAGATTTATTTAGAAGCAATCATAGTAGATAAGGAAACAACCCATAAACATGTCTGCTGTTTTAATAAAGGTTTTTACCAATAAAATAAAAAAATTAGAATATTTAAATAACTGAAGACAAGAAGTGTTTTAAAGGGAATAGTTTTAAGAAAGTACACACCTGTACATTAAAATTTTGTATATCTTGAGTGGAAATATTCTTTAAATTTCATTTTTATTCATTTTAAAAGTGGTTCTACATTGTGCTAGATAATAAATTGGAAAATATTGATCCTCTGTTTCAGTGTGTCATGAGTTGCATGATTTTCCTTCCTGTTAGAACTTCCTGTTAGAATTCCCTACTGAAGATAAGATTTCATATCTCTACTTAAATAAAATATTAACTGAAATAAAAATTCTAAATTTTAAAATCATATCATTATAATTGGCGCCCAACAACAACAACAACAAATAGAATATATTAAATTTCATATCATAACAATTTCATTTCTCGTAACAGTGATAACTATATATGAAACGTAAATTTAAAATTAACAAAAAACACAATCATCACAATATATTATTCTTGCACTTATTTCCAAAATATTCAGTCGAGTTTCTAAGGTTCTTAATAGCGGTGTATGTTTTTATGGTTGGTAGTAAGGAGAAGGTAAGGAACTGTGTAGAGGAGAGGATTTTTATCTGCTCCGGCAGTCAGGGCGTGCTCAAGGTGGTTAGCTCCCAGATGACAACGTCCATCCTTGTTCAGGAGTGTGGAGATGCCCTGGAGTCACTGACCAGACGAAGAGAGGTAGAATTGGTTTTGGTTCCGGGCTACATGGATATCCCTGGCAATGAATGAGCAGACCATCTGATCCGTCTTGGATCCATGGGGCCTGGCCAAGAACCAATCCTCGGCATCACACGAGGTAGCATTAACGGTACCATTAATAAATAGGCATATCAAATATTAGTTCAAAACTGGAGGACGAACAGAGAATGTAGGCAAACCCATAGCTTTATACAGGTATGTGTGCTTAACAAACCTAAGACGAGATGACTGCTGAACTTTAGTTGAAAAATCCTAAACCAAATGGTGGGGTCGTGGCTCGTGACCACTGCAGACTTAGGAGGCATTTAAGCTTAATAGGAATTTGAAGAGGAATCTTTAGGCCCGAAATGTGGAGAAGGGGGGAATACCCCTATCCATCTTCTGGGTTTGGTACCGAAGAGCTTCAATAGGATGAGGTGAGAGATCTTGCTTGGATCAAAGTTCTGACGTTCATCAGGGCGTCAGGTAGGTTCGAGGAGGGTTGGAGGCAGACTGTGGATAGGTGATGGTTAGGTTAAGTTAGCGGGGTAGGCAAAAGGGGCACATTTGTGGCCTAATTGTCAGCACCCCTATTCACTACTACTAACGGTATCTTTCGTTTTACCTTTATTTTACTTTTATCAGACCATTAAAGCAGATAAAAAATCTCTAATAGTTCTTTGTTATAGTCTTCGAAAAACAGTAAGTCACTTTAATAAATTTATTAATTTAAATAAAATTTTGGCCTAATGATATGAATTGTTGTTTATTTTTTATCAAAACAAACTATCTTCGGACCAAATACTTAGCCTATATTCACGTGGCTCTAAAAATTGACGCTCAATTAAAATTATACAAATCATTGCTTAAAATAAGACTAAGGCAGATAGTTCCAGCCTATTTCTTAACTAAATTAAAATCGTGTATTGCAGTTTCAGGCAGGAAACGAGATTAATAATTCCATTCAGGGCATGGAGCTCTTGCTCAGGATATAACGGGAGAGTTAAAATAAATTAAAGACTTAAACGGTTAAGAACTTCACTAATTTGTTTGCTAATATGAGGCTTAAAATAATATTTGTTGAAGAATTATCTATTAAAGAGGATAATTTGAATAGAATTTAACTAAAATGATTACCTAATTAATTAATTACTTATACGGGAAATAATTATTACTTAATTGATTGAATGGATTAATGAACTTTTTATTAAATTTTGCCAAACCAGGTCAGTTAGTCAAATTTAACAATTGTAAATTTCAGTATCAATTTACGTAATTATTCTTAATTCTGTTAAAACTTAAAATTAAGATACCTACCCTCTCCCTCATTGCCACATAACGATTGACGATTGTAAAATGTGACAAATGGTATAGGACAGTCATTGCAAAAAAATTAGTCGTTTGTAATTAATTTTAGTAGACATGATGTAAATTTAATTAACTGATATTTACGCTATGTTCCACTACATTAATTAACTTGACCTATTATATTTTTTATAGTTTTTCCATATATTTCTATTAACGACGTCAAAACGTGTCTGAATCCGGAGTAATTCGAACTAAAAAAATCGAAAAAATTTGTATTTGTGATTTATATAAAACGAAATCAACATCAACAGTTATTTGTTCTTTTCTAACTAATAGGGCAAATTTGGGGACCACAGATATAATTTTTTTAAATGGTTGCAACTTTACCGTTGAGGTTGCAAAAATATTTTGAACGTTAACTTTAATGATAAATAAATTAAAGTCCCAATAACAAGAGTGTAGTGTAATATTTATTTAAACTAATTATTTAAATGGATGGCCATTTCACTCAGTATGAATTGTTAAATCTACTTTATAGCCATACAGCTTTGAATTACATATTCTATGAAGCATCTGCATTTGTAGGTACTACTGTTCAATACAAGATATCCACGTTCATTACTTACTTCAATATTTATTACTCTTCTGTTCGTTATTTGAATTATTCTTTACGATTTTTCATCTTAATGTCAGTTTTTTTATTTATCTTTATTGATATCTTCTTCGGCTTCAATTTTTATTCTGTGATAATTTGCCTTCTTGTTTAACTTTACGCTTTTCTGTAAGTTAAAAAGTATTAATTATTTATTAATAGATTATTTCCTATTTGTTTTAAACATGAACTTAGGTTCAATTTTTTCTGTAAGAAGAGATTTTTTTTTGTATCGGAGGTTATCGGTTTTTAGTACATTATGTTTGTTACTTTAGCTGTAAAGGGTATGGAAAGCAGAGAAACTATTTAATGAATAATCAAAATCAACAGAAAAATAAATAATACAAAAACAAAACAATACAGAGCAAGTTTTTGTGACTGAATGCTATAATACCAAAACGTTAAGACCTCGGGAGTTTTACCCATATTTAAGAAGGAAGTTTAGAAAAATTCGGAAATTCTTTAATGTGCAAAATATGCATAATTCTTTCGGTACTTGAGTTTGCACTACTACTAAATACATTTGACGCATTACCATTTTCCAAATACTAATTTTGTTTCAACAAGACAGTTGCAACAACAAAATTTACAACACATATTAATATTGGATACCAGCCCCAGCAGAAGTTATAAAATTAAATCGCTATTCCAAAATCTAAACACGTGTTCGCAATATGTCAAGTACTTCTGTCAGCTTCAATAAAATTCTGCGATTTTCAGTCCCCTTCTAGCAATATAATCCCTCAGCCGCAGTGATGAAACTAGAAAGATTGAATATTCACGTTTACGAACATCAAAACATTCCGCAGTGTCAGAACAAGATTATAAAACGTCGCACTACAAATATTTGTAAACATATTTGTATTTCTTTCAAAAGCTGCATATCTTCAAAGTGCCGATATGTCTCGACACACCCCTAAATACCAGTTTGAGGTGTAATTTTACCCGTCTTTAGTCTTTTAATGTGGCTAATGGAGTTACGTCCTTGTAGACTAAATATCTCCCTCGGATGTTTTTGGCACCAGAATTGCAACTGCTCCATGTGCCAACGGAAACTCGAAAATTATATGGACTACATAGTAATAAATAAACTTTCATTCCTTAGCCACACAAATACAAAATGTACGATTCAGTTACTTTGGTTGAAGTGCATATTCAAACGGAAAATAGATACTGCGTAAATCAGTGTCAATATGTTTGAAACTCATTAGACAAACCACTTATAAAAATATGCACTTGAGAGATGCAGAACAGGACATTTAATTTTAGACCAATTTATAACAGTTAAAACCGGCCTTCTTCCTGTTGGAAGACAAAGCGGTGTCAATTTTTAGACATGTTTTAAAAATACCTTGTATATTCTAGTTTTAAAATAATACAAATTCTTTTGGATTTTCAGAATGATTAAGACTTATTTAGGAGGGCATGTTTTTATTAGTAATTTGAATTCAGTTTACAAAATTTGCTAAAGTTGTTTATAATTGATTAAGAATTCTTTAGCAGTCGTTTAAGTTCTTGAACTAATCGACATAATGGTAATCCGATCACATTGTTTCCATCGCCTTCAATTCTAGTTACGAAAGTACTGGCAATACCTTGGATTCCATAGCCTCCTGCTTTGCCCCTGAAATGTAAGTTATGCAAACATGAATACACTATAAAATCTTCCAACAATAATTTCCTTATACAACTCAAAGGCAATAATTATGAAAAATGTAGTGTTGCTTTAAAATGCATTCTATATTATTGTAAAGGCAACAGCTATTTTCTAAAAGGATTATTCACATAAAAAACTATGTATAAATGATGTGGTAGAAAAGAAAAATGTGAAATGTAATTTTAAAGAGTATTTATAATTTTTTAAATTTCTTACATGGGTTCTCCAGTTTCTACATAAGCCAATATTTCTTCTTTATCCAATTTTGCCATATAAACCGTAGTTACTTCTGTGAACTTGTGGATTTGATCTTTATACATTATGGCTACTCCTGTATACACTGAATTTGGTATGCCAGATTGAGTCAAGCTAAAAAATTCAAACATACTGTATCAAATAATAATGGTAAACTATGGAAACTTACTCTGTTATAGTTTTTATAGCCTCTTCCTTTGACTTTGGTTTTCCATACATCTTACCATTGTAGGTAACCATTGTGTCAACCCCAATAATTATGTCAGGTTTTCTTTGGTCATTCTTGAGTTGTTGGTAGACGTCATTTAATTTGCCTATAGCCGTTTTTTCTACAAAATCAGAAAACGTATGTTCTCTTGGATCCAAATTTTCTTCGAAATTCGATGTGCAAATTTCAAATTTGAGTTTCTAAAAAAAGGTACATATTCATTTAAGAGCGTTTAGTGATGATAATTATTTTGAATTAAATTTTGGCGTATTTTAAACATTTCGAAGGAAAAGTTTATCTTTGAGAATAATTAGATATAATAGTTATTGATTAAAAAAAAAATCATAAATAGTTTAACTGATGGCATGAGTGGGATACGCCAATTACATCTGCAACCAAACACAGACTCGGAACAATTTCGTTATCGATTATATTTATTTTCATAAGGAACTGCCAGTGCCATCTTTTAGTTCTTACCGTACTAGCTAGCAACGACTGACGTTGTTTGGAACTGCTTGCTAAGATTACTCTCATTTCGTTTAATTGAGACAGCAGAGGTTCCAACATTTTGGAAATCATAAATGGTCTATTTTAGTAAGTACACTGAGTCACAGCACTACTGTAGCAATGAAAGTAACCACTTTAATATCAACCTGAACGCGTTTTGGAGGTTACAATAAGTAACCCTGCCCCCTGGCTGTTTTGTTGATAAGTAGAAATCTGTAAAAATTTGCGTCTATTCTATTCTGTCTTCTTGCAGAATAGAGTCCTTGAATGAGGAACGGAAGTTTTAAGAACGTATCAGTTATACGTAAATAATTTAATAAGTTGAGTTAAACTAATACGTTCAGTATACCTATATGCCTAAATGATAATATAAAATATCAGAGAATATACTGAAAATATTAAATATTTAAAGCAAAAGTTGTATCTACACGTAGGTTTATCATTTTCATTTACCTAAACAATGCATTAGATATTTTACGAATAATCTGATATAGCAACAAATATATATTTCTATGCATGATTTTTTTTAATATTTTTTATCATCACGTCTCTAATTCGTTGCCATAACAGTCCAGTTAAGTCATACCAGATAATAGACTAAATTAAGACACTGAAGGCCATATTCGGCAGTAGTTGCAATTGCAGGTTCTGTAAACATGTGTGGCGTTTACTTTTAGATAATGAGTAAGTAATTCTAAAAGGCCATAACAAAGGAAGTAAAACTGGTACGCGATGATCTATCTCCACGTCATCTGTTTATTATCTGATTATTTAATTACATTGACGTCCATTTAAACTTGTGTGACCAAATTTTCCACCTGCAAATAATTGCTTGTCGTTAACTATTTGTTTGCAATTGTGCAAGCAGGCATGTAAAACCGATTTGACTTATTTGACATTGATCAGCTTTTAGTGACATATTTCTAAAACAAACTATACAGGATATTTCTACCTAAAAGTTTGGTACTGATTCTTAAATATTCATGTGCATGCATTATACCTACTATGAATTTAATTTTATAGAATTTTAAATTAAAGAAATCAATACAAAAATAAAATATTAAAATATCTTCAAACTATTTTCATTTTCTTACATTTAGTCAAATTTGTTTGGTTTAAATAGTTGGGTACTTACGTATTTCTCATTTGAAAAGTGAGTATTTCTTATTACAATCCATAATTTTAATGATTCTGTAATGATTGATGCCTTATTTTGGGACGCATATATTTATAAATATGACCCGTCTAAATTACAGATGCAAATAGAAAGTTTTCTGAAGGCTAAAATTTGAAATTAGAACGGAATTGAAAAAATAGATGATTACCTCCACGAAGAACACATTTTTTGATGTGTAGTAAAAAAACTTTGTTATTACTGACACAAATATTGTTTGCTCCGATCAAAAATCAATTAATTAAAGAAATATATCTTAATTGAAAATAAAATTTTTGATGAAACAAATAATTTGATAGCTACAAATACCCGAGCAAATACCTAACTAAGTTGACCTTAGGAAATCAAATTCTAGAGATAAATGTTCCGCTAAGGAATCAATACTAAATGTAATAATTGCAGCGATACATTTGCAACACGTAATCTTAATAATTAATAGAAAGTTTGTTCATATTGCATGATTATGTAAGCCTTATATTATTTTTATATGTATGGCTATAGTTTACATGAAAATATGGATACATACAAACATTTTCTCTGATTTAGTAATAATTTATAAAACTCATTTCAATGAGATTCTTGCTTGTTATCTACTTGAAAAAAATAAAATAAATTAATTAAAACTTAGAAATTCAATAAATTACTCTGATGATACGTTTTGTTTAAAAGAAATTTGTAACTTTTCATATACGACTAGTTTTTCTTGAATTAAATTTGTCACATAGTAAAACACTGTATAAGCAATGTAGTTAAAAATATGTAAATGTTTGAATAAACGATAGTTTATATTTTCATTAAAAAATTGTTGCTAACGCTTAAAAAGTGAAATTGAAATATGGAAACTACTGTTGGTTGTATCCTTAGCTTCTATTTAATAGATTGGGGAGTTTACCTTGAAAACCAACATATGTACAGGCTGATTACTCGAAAATTGTTACCCTTTTCTCTGCGTATTTTACGGGATACGGAAAAAATATAAAAATTATAAGGATTTGACAAAAATGACACACGTAGTAGAAGGACAATTAAATATAGCACTTCCGAGTTATAAGCTTAACTTATGTTCCTTTTTAATGGTAGAGCCTGTATATCTTTAAACCGTCAAAAGAGAGATATACATAATAATTATTAATATGCAACATCACCCTAATACGTTGTGGAAGTCGGTATCTATTTTTTTCTATAGATATAGGAGCATCGTAAAATATTAAATAAACTAAGCGTTTTTAATTAATAGAATTTTTAATAAATTTTGTAGTATACAGTGTGTCCAAGATAAGTATGGGATAGCATTTAGATCTAGGAAACGGTAAGAGATACGGGGGTGGCTTAAATGTGAAAAATGTTGTGTTTTTTATACCTAACAATATGCTGTTTAGAAAGTTTTAAAATTTCGTGTAGTTTCGAATATCTGGAAAAACCCGAAATTCTGCAAAATCGTTTTATTTTTTCTGGCTTTATTTGAAAACGAATTTTAAAATAAATTACATATTTACAATGCCACTTTTTTCGCTCTATCCAATGGCGTCAACATTTTTGCAATCCGACGTTTCGTCTTCGAGGGGCCATCATCAGGTTAATTTTTTTAAATACGTCGCTGCTATTTTTATGACCAAATGAGTCATTTTTAATTCTGAATTAGAGGATATTACTATTGTAATCGCTTAAAAAGTTTTTAGCTTGTTTTAGCTATCATTTAAAATTTTTCTCGAGTACGGCTCTGAACGTTTAAAAAATATATGTTGGAGGAAGTCATAACAGTATAAAAGTCAATACAGCACAAAATATCCAACAATTTTTTGTACTACTTTAACAATACTAATTAGAAATACATAATAAAACATTTCATAAATTCGTACTATTTTTTTTATTAGGTACAACTTTTTTAAATTATTGATTAAAAAAAATTGTTGGAATTTTTGTTCTATATTGACTTTTATACGGTTATGACTTTCTCCAATAGATATTTTCAAAGCGTTCATAGCCGTACTCAGGAAAAATTTTAAATAATAGCTAAAATAAGCTAAAAACCTTTTTAAGCGATTACAATATTAATATCATCTAATTCAGAATTAAAAATGACTAGATTTTGTCATAAAAATAGCAACGACGTACTTAAAAAAATTAACCTGAATTTATTTTAAAATTCGTTTTCACGATTTTGCAAAATTTCTCCGGAACTACCTGGAATTTTAAAACTTTCTAAACGGCACACTGTATAGTCGGGGTTCTCTAAAAAAAAATGAAATAAAAATGGAATTATTTTTTGCTAAATTTTTATATACAAGTAATTGGCACTATATCGCCGTTCCTGTTTCTGAAAATATTTTTTCCTTTTTAAGAAATTAATTAGAAACATCATTTTTAAACTAATTTTTAATATTCTTCCAAGGTTACTATGTAAAACTATATTAAAATATGCAATCTTCTGAAAACCGTCAATATTATTAAAAACCTATCTTGATGGTCTTTCCAGTGATGTAAAGATCTGTAAGCTATTTAAAAAAACATAAGTTAGGCGACAACTATCTTTCCTGTATATCTTATTTTTTTTAAGTCCTCATAACTTTTATCTATAACTTTTGTTCGTATCTCAAAGAATAACTGAGATGAAGGGGAGGCAATTTTCGCGCGACTACCCTATAATGCAAGAAAAATTACGAATTGTTGTGTAGACTGATATTTCCTGCCTTATGTAACTTTAACAAAAGGGAATTTGTAATATTGAATTTATAGAAATAAAAAGAACGCAAATTATAAAAATAATTCGAATGGTTTAATAAAGTATTTTTTTCACAACATTTATTAAAACACTTTTTTCTCTAGTATTTTCTACATTTTTATATAAATCATTTACATTTTATAATAATAATAGTAATAATATGGAACGTAATAATATTATTTTTTTATAGTACTTTATATATTAAAATTATGCTGAAACAGTTTCTACTATGGATTTCTTAATAATCTCGCCGAAATTCTCATCGCAGTCCTCGGAACTGGTCGAGTTGCTGCTGTTGGTCGAATTCGCATTGACTTTCTCTATCCTCTCACCGGAGTTATTGGCGGACTCCACGGCCGGATCCAATCCGGAAAAAGCGTTGGTCTCTTCGTACCCTGAATAATTATAGCGCCCGTTCAACAGCTCAGAAAAGGACTCGATCTTATTATTGGCCCCGATAGGGTTGAGGTTGGTGTATTGGTTCTCCTTGGCCTCCACGCCGGTAGTCGCGAAATTATCGTTGGAAAAGTGCTCGTAGCCGGCGCTAGGCTGCTGGAAACCCCCTTCTAAAGCCTTCGAGCCGAATTCGGGCGCATACAGCCCTCCGTAAGGGTTAAAGACGGGGGAGAAGTCGGCGAAATTGGTCTGGTACGGCTGCGTGTATTGATTGGACGGCGCGGGGTAGGGCGCGCCACCGGCCGGGAAACCGACATCAGAGAATCTGGGGTCGGGGAAGTGGAACCCCTGTGTGGGCGGGAAGGGCTGCTGCTGCTTTCTTTCCACCGCGGAACCGTCCCGCACTGTCTCGTCTCCGTAGCAATTCTCGCGGAAAGTGTATAGATCCAGGGAGTCTCCTCGGTCTGGCAAGTTGGAGAATCCGGGCGGACTGTGGGAGAGAAGAGGCCCCGGACCTTCTCCGGGAGCTCCGTAGTGCAGGTTGGTAAAGCTGCCGTTGTGCACGCAGTTCTCCACCTCCACGTGTGCGTTTAAACTAATGTCCCTTAGCAGATTGCTGTTGTACTTATTTACACCTAGTTTACTATTCGAAGTTGCGTCTGGGTGGTCCTCTTTGTTCTGGTAGGTCGCGTTAAGTCTCTCATTGTTCATCCAGGTGGCCGTGTCTTTTTTGTCATGCTTCATCTCCTCCTCCTTCTCCTGTTTCTTCTCCAGTTCCAGTCTCATCAGGGTGTGGATGAAGTGCGTTCGAACTCGGACCGGATTGAATTCTATGCGACCGCTCGAGTTGCCGCAATTATCGCGTGAGCAGCCGCAGGGAAAGTTCAGTCGGTCGACTTGGCATTTGATGCCCGCTTGACTACACGAACAAGTATCTGGATCACAGTAACCTTTACATCCACAGCCACAGAATTCTCTGGACGAGCGAATGTCTCGACATTCGTCTTTCTCTAGAGAGTCTATCTTGCGAATACCTGCTGCCCTTAGCAGCGCTCTGCGCTGCCGCGTGGGAACAGGTTGCAGAAAGTAGTAATTATCCACGTCCATTTCGGATTCGGAAGCGTCGCTGGGTTCGTCCTCGCTGTCGCTTTCGTCGCTGGAAGAGCCCACCGTTCCTCCTGTTGTGTTTCTCTCCGATCGCAGCTGTTGCAACAGTTGGCGATGAATCCTGCGCTGTTCTACTGCGTGTTCGATGAGGGAGAATTTTTTAACATGTGAGTGGCGCGAGCCCATGCCCAGCGTGGATCCTCCTTGGGAGGGAACGCACGTGAAACCCTGCGCTCTGGGGAAATAGAAAACTGTTACGCTGTCGAAGGTTATACCACGTCTCCTTTTTACTTTAGGCTCGTCCGCGTCATTGTCGGTAGAAATTTTTCGTTTTAAACTACTTTTGATAGGCTTTTTTGATTGTGCTGCGTTCAGGATGTCTCCGATGTCCTTCGCTATTTCTTTAGCGCTCGCTTCCAGCTCATTATCTTTTAAAGATTCCTGTGAGCTCGTAGACGGAAGCTCATAGTCCGTGTGAGATTTTTGACTAGGAAAATCTTCGAAGTGGTTACTGGGCATTGCTTCGTCGTTTATCCTGTACAAAAATGACGATTCGCTGTCACTTTCTATGTTCGCGGCGTTTTCCTGCGGCCTTTCCTCGCACAGCTCTGACCCCAGTCCGGAGTCGGAACCGTCGGATCTATCGTGGGGTTCTTCCGTCAGTTCCTCTGCGGGAGGTAAACTCTCCGTGGCCGAATCTTCGCCATCGTTTAGGCTTTCCTCCTCGTTTTTTAGATTAAGTGAATCGGTTTCTATCCTGTCCTCAGTATTATCTATTACTTCTTCGTTTGATTTTGGCTCCCCATTGTCTTTAGAATTATCACGCGCCTCGTTACAGTCGTTTAAGTCTTTCTGGTTTGTACTAGAAGGCTTTTCAACAATAACATTAACAGATTCAACAAAGTTGGGTTTCTCGGCCAGCGATTGTGCTGTTGCATTTAGTACTGCTTGGTTCCCGTCTTGCATCGTGGGGAATGATGACTCCATGGTTGACTCGTTAGACCCCATTAGTGCATTTACTGGTTCTCCTTCGGATACATTCCAAGCAAGCCATCACTATCTGGAAAAGAAAATTAAGTTATTAGTTATCACAATTTTAAACGTATTACATTTAAATGATATTTATTAACTATGCGTATATTAAAACGGACAATTATACCGAGTATAAATAGATTGTAGATAAGGCATGAAAGATAACAATTTTTATCTATATCAACTGGCTGACGTCAGTGTATGTCATTATATTTCAAACCTGTAACAACTCTCATTTTTTGTTTTAAATCTGGTAAAAATGTATGTGTAGATTCAAATTTCGATGTGTATAACACAAAAATATATAATTTTCGGGAGGGTGAAATTTCTTTTATCTAAATTTTTACGATTTTTATAGTATATGTATATTATGTACCTACATACATATTACAATAATGTTATGTAAAAAAAATCGTACATAGGTTTTATAAATAAAAGACACTCTTAAAACAAAATTGTTATTGCGAAAATGTGATATTAACGAGTCCTTTATTTTGAAAAAAAAAAACGAAGCGAGTAACAATTATTGTTTTTAACTGTTTACTAATAAGATTTGTATAAATTCCATATGTTCAACAAGTTGCCAACGTCAATGTTTAATACATATACCTTTACTTCGACGTGCAATATGTTTTAGCTGAATTTTATTGGGATTTATTACATTTCTATGATAATGCGCCTGTACTACAGCTTTTCCTAGTTTTCTGTCGAAGTGGTTAGTCATAATTCTTCTAATGTTAAATGATACTTTCTGTCTACCACAGGTCTAACTTTCGTTACATTGATTCAGTTTGTTACAATTTCACTTTAAAAAGAAGTGCAATAAAGAAAGCAAAGCTGAAAGGCTTCCAATATTACAAATATTTAGTTAGCGTTAAATACAGATTTGTCCTTTACTACTATTTTATGTTTATAATGTCGTGGAACAGAGTTAGGAAAATTCAACTGATAAAAATATTTATAGTGGGAAACTCACCTAACACCTACCATATTCCTTTCACTTTTCTATGTCAAAAAGAACTGTCAATGACGTTATGTCATTTCTAGCTCCATGAAAACTCTCTAATCATCTGTCACAATGCAAATATACAGGGTGATTCATTAATAATTGTACATACGCTAACTGAATAATCCTGGTCTGAAAATATGAAGAAATGACACATAACGCTTAGGCTCCTTACAGAGATACAGGGTGTTTTATTAAAAAAAAATTAAATGACTTTTGTCCATTACTTTAACCTGGTTTGATATTTCCCTCTCATAGTTGGCATAAAGTTTAGAAACTTTAGAACATATTAAAAAATGCTACACAATCGTTCATGGCTATTACCAGAGGCGTACGGCAGGGGGTAGAGGGGAAGTTTCCCATTCCTATCTTCTGCGCCACTGGCGGAATTTTCATTTTGGAACAATTTTTCAATTCTTCAATACTTTCTATGCAATTAACTAAAGTCTTTACTTCTCGATATTTTTAAAGTTAAACATATGGCTGCACAATCATTTTTATTTGTAAAGTCGGTGTCTTCTGCCATGGGATTAGTTGAATTAAGTTTTACAGTTGAGTAGTACAGTTTTAGTAATAGGCAAAATCATTTAAAATTTTTTAAACAAAACATCCTGTAACTCCGTAAGGAGCCATATTTTATATAAGCGTTATGTGTCAATTCTTCATATCTTCAGCCTAGGATTATCCAGTTAGCGTATGTACAATTATTAATGAATCACCCTGTATAAATATGTAATGAAAATTGAAATAACTAGTTATATTTTAAACCTTATAAAATAAAACACTGGATGTACAGTATACAATTTAATTACATTAATTCTGTAAATTCACCATACCATATTTTCGTCAAAAAACAGCTACCAGTAAACATAATAATAATTTTTGACATTCTAGATTGAAGTTATGTACAGTTAAAAAAACTGTAAATTCCATTACGTCTAATGTAAATATGTATCAAAGGTCAACTATATCCAAAGTAAGACACATCTTCAGCACTTAAGTTTCTCCTAACAAAGGACAAAAGTTCTTCCAGTAAAAGCATCAAGGCCATTGAACTAATAAAGGATTTCATCAACTTAAAACAGTTACTTTTTAATGAAATCGGTTTGTTATTTATTTATGTTTTACCTATTTAAGCATTTACTAATTAAAAGAATATTTGATATCTCCTAAATTATGTAACTCATGTTACTAAAACTATGTATAACCAAAAATAGATAAAGACAAATCTAAAATCCGTTTTTTGTTTAACCATTTCTACGTGACTTGATTATTTTATTCCTGAATTTAACCCAACCGTTGTAATATATCTCTCTAATTTCTGCATAATAGAATAAAACAAAATTTATTTTTAATATAAATTAGCCTAATACTCACATGTGTTGTGCTTATAAAATTTCGACTTAGAAAGTGCGATACATACTTCATAAGTGATAATATCAAAATATTAGTTAAATATAAATATCAACAGTGAATAGAGATAAAAATGAAATAACAATTCAGTTAACCAATTCATTAATACAATAAAGAATTAATTCGGTAATAAATTTCAGTCAGTACAATAAACAAACACCTAATTTGTGGAATTTAAATAACTGTTACACTAAAAATGTACCTAAATGTTATCAGTCGTTAAAAAGCTAATTAGTTTAATTTTAAACATTACTGATACAGAGTTTTTTATATGTATTGCGGTTGGTGTTCATTTAAAACGTTATTAAAACGGTATTCTTCGTTTAAAGAAATATTGGGTATTTAATGGTAAATAAATAATAAAAATAAAATCATAGTAATAATAATACTATTTTATTATTTTGTATTTAATTTTATTCAGTAAAATTATTATTATGTTATTTTATACGCTTTCTAAAATTTGTTTTATTCCAAAAATAACTAGAATAATGTTAACCACATATTTAACTCATCAAAAGCAAAACATTTGTATAATATTTTTTGAGAATTGGTGCAATATGTATTAAAGAAATATCTTAAGGAACATATGCGAATGTTTTAGGCAGTGATTCACTATCTTAAAGTTTGTTACTAGACTCCGTGTCAAGTGTAAGAAGTACGACGAGGTATTAATAATAGTGATTGTGCATCATGATTTTAACTTTCGGTGAGGCTTATGGAAACTGTTCGTGGGATTTATATGGCTAATTTCTTGAATCGTCCCATACCAAATAAGTGCGCACTTGTATATGTTGTTCAGGAATTTCGAATGAACGAAAGCTACTGGATGATTTTCCGCTGAAAATTCGTCGAAACGTAATAATTTGATGATGGTGCTCCTTGCCGTAATGTCGGAATTATTCGAGATTGGTTAAGTCAGCACGATCGCCAGATTTCAATCCGTGCGACTTTTATTTAAGGGGTTGTTTCAAACAGCTGGTTAATGGTTGAGAAACGACGGGAACAAATAAAGAGTTCCGTCAGAATAATCTCAACAATGTGAGTGAAAAAGAAAATTTCAACTTAAATTTTCAATTATGCTCTGACAATAATGGAGGATGTTTTGACATTCCTTGGAACTAATCGAAATAATCGCGTTGAATTACTTTTGGCAAGTAAAAAGTTTGTCATCGTTACTTTTAAATAATTTTCGGCTCAACTAGTTCATAAATAAATATGTGTAATTATTTTTCAATAATAACCGAATAAATTCTGCATCTTTTTGTTTATTATTAAATTAAGTAAGTTAAATTAAGTTTTGATGTATTCATCAGTGGCGGGTAACAATAATTTAAAATGAAAAAAAAATAAAATGTTTTTAGATAAAAGCTGTTCTTTTGTCGAGTTAAATATATGGTTGAAATGTTGGTACTTATTTTTGGGACACCCTGTATAATTAAAAATACGTTAACAAATTACGTTGCTATCTTAATTTAGAAATTTGAATGTGACCTCTATTACGAGGAAAATGTCTGATCAATACATATAATTATTCAAAAAAGATATATTATATTTGGTCTCAAAGAGGGTTAAATAGGAAAACTAGTCCATATTTTCGATTGACGCTGTAATAAATTTGACACTTTTTTTAACAATATAAGTGTGTAGTAATCATTACATTTTATTATAAAATTCGAAGTAGTTTCAGCTAGATTCTTCTACCTCATAATATGTTCTGCGTAGCTTGTACGACTAGATTGGTCCCTCACATGAAATGACTAATCAGCGCTATTCCGTCTACTGACCAACCTCTGTTACTCATCTCGAATTTGCATATAAACGATCGGGCATATTACTGTTTGCGGACGGCTTTAGATACCTGAAAAATGTACCTTTGCATACATCACCACTAATAGCATTCAACGAAAGTACATAAGTAAAGGTTTTCTTCACAATTATTATACAAATGTAAACTATTAATAATATTTGATTGTTCCTACACAGCGGCGAATGCATATTCAAAATTGCTGCTGTCACGTAGAAGATGACATTTGTCAAGTAAAATCTCAAATTTTGTTAAATAAACATGTTTAAATATGGGCAACACATGTTCCGTGAAATTAAATTAATTAACAAGAAGGTATAGTCTTTCCAAAGTCAAATGAACATGTATAAAAACGCCTAGCAATAAAATATAATGAGTTTCATAGGCGTCCCTAAAAAAGTTTTCCGTTGAGGGTAAAAAATAATATTTAGTAGCTTGTATATGTATATAATGTGTAGAAAATTTCTATTATATGCTCACTTGGCCAACAGCATATTTTAATTATTTATGTTCTCAAACAATTTTATTATATTGATGGCAAGTTTCGTGTTGTTCTGTTTCAAAACGTCTTCAAAATGCCATGTTGTAATAATATTAGTAAACAAAATATCCCTCTTTCTCTCTTTCGCAATTTTAATATGAATGATTGATAGAAGGTGCCTATAGTAAATTAAAATTACCTGAATCATACCAAATTCCGCATTGCTGCACTGCACTGGCTAGGCAATTGTCAGCGAGTTTTCAACTACTGAAATTTATGGCCAGTCGCTCAGTTCGGCTGTGCTTGTTCGCCGTTTGCCCGCGC